TAACATGCGATGGTTACACCAGGTGAATCGAGAAGCAAGGTTGCCTCAGCAGTTACGATACATTTGCTGAACCCCGGTTAGCAGGTAAAGGAACAGTTATTGTCATCACGCACAAAGTTGATTATATTACAAAGATGAAGTCCATTCTGGAAGCTAGGCGGAAATTTTAGGTCGACAAAACAACGGATACTAATATCCTTGTAGAGTAACAAGTAACAAGTAAGCTCCAACTATTTCTGTTACATGGCTACATCACCGAACTTCAAACGCCACACTTGAAACCAGTTGGGATGGAAACACCGAGCATGAGAGGTGTACCGTTGCATGCAAGCCATGCACGTATAAGTCGCTTTACCACAATGTGGCAAGGTGTTTGATACCAGTCTTAGAACCCGTACTTCGACTCCTAGGGACTTATTGTTTGAAAGGTGTCTTTGATTTGATTGAGGAATTGGAGTATACTTCGTTGCTGAAGGAACGCATGTACTCAATAGACGTGGTCTTACTGTTCACAAATGTACTTTGCGCGAAACAGTTGATGGGTCGTGCCACTTCCTTTTGAGTCAGAGGCTATCTGTGGGCATTCCCATAGAGTTTTTGAGTGACCTTATTCTTCGGTGCACAGGGAATATCCGCTTTGAGTTTGAATGTACATCGTACAAGCAGACAGATGGTGTCACAATGGGTAGTCCTTTGGGACCCGTTTTGGCAGACATTATATTGAGATTGATCGAAAAGAACATCGCCACCGGCATTACTGAAGAACCGACGTGCCCTAGTTGTTACAAGTCCCTGTATAAACGTACGAAACGCTCTTCACCGGCAGTACCGCATGTGAAGAGCAGCCAATTGTATTCGGATCCATACCGCCTAAGAGACCTATCCGCATGAGGTATGTACACCTGCGCTGAGATTGCAGACGAAACACGTCCCATTGTACGAATATACCGAAACCCAGAAAAGAAAAACAGGCGGATAGCGGGAATTCATCCACTGAATACCTAACGGCAACAAGTTTTTACACCTTCATAGTTGTAGCTCAATATTATAGCAGTGTGCTACATGAACTATAGAAAGAGATGAATGTTGGTAAGACATAAGCAGCCACGTATTGGTGTTATCTTGAGGAAAACTCATTTGGTGTCACTGCGATTTCAGATGGTATCCGCAGCAGCTTTACTAGGGAGAACTTAGTTGGTATTTTCGCAGTTTGCGTTGTTGCGTAACCGCTGTTTCAATGAGGACAGCTCGGATGTTTGCGCCGTAGTTTCTGTCGTCGCCTAGGGATAGCATTGTTGAGATGAGATTAAGAGAACTCCGTGCTAGTTTAGCGGAGCTCTACTAGCTTCGCTGTACCAACCAAAGGTTTTCATCGTCCTCCAGATCCCAACGAGGGAATCAGCAAGCCCTAACTCAGGCCATTGTAGAAGTCAGAGTATCCATGATTCCTGACCGGGCCATCAGCTTTCCTCCCCCTCTTCTTCCATCTATACCCCCGAACGCGCAGGCAATGCAATACTTAGTAGTCGTGTTTTGTCATCCGTAACACATGGCTTAGCCATTAGAGTTTAGTGTGACCAAGTCCTCGGTTGGCCTTCACTCCTCTTCTTCCAATCACGAAGCGGGAGTCGGTGTGGCTTAGGCATCAGAGGCTGTTATGTGATCTAACGGTGCTGAGCGCTTCACTTGCTCTTCCTGTCCTATAGGCAAGCTACCGAATGCACTCATTGCTCATGCGGGGTTCGCGCCAGCTAGGAAGTAAACTGTGAAGGCAGCGATGGTCAAACATAACTAGCATCTTTATGTCTGCCAATTTGATAGGTCAGGTTTCACAACGGTATAGCAGGGTTGAATGTATGGTTGCATTGTACGCTCTACCCTTCATTGCGAGTGTAATGTCGCACTGGCCCACACGCGTGTCTGCAGCCCAAGCCCAATAGGTCGATATTGTAGAAAGACTGTGACGAGTGCCAAGAAACTGTACTTCGCTGTGCTACTTTGAGTTTCCCGCTGGCTTCGGGTCGAGATCATTGGAAAGGGATGGCTAGGTATGGCTCAGCTTCACAGCTGCACAACTGTTCCTTTGAACAACAAAAGTGAATAACCCTGTGTAGTGTGTGGCAGACATCCACAATTGCACAGACAAAAACATGAGGGACATGTCGATGTTTTGTTCCATGAAATCGTGTAGTTCGAAGGGGGAACATTGGTAACACGGTTTTACTGATTTAAACTGTTGTTGAACGGGAAACTCAAACGGGCACCCTGCAGACTCAGGGACCTAATATCTGGAATAAGGGACTGGAAGGGGGTAGCATATGGGAAAATGAAACCGGTGATGATCGACACCACAGCGATGCACCTCACGGAAGGCCAATAACTAAAGTGAATGCTTGTGCTGCAATACAATAACCTGGTGATTCAGCACGTCAACATCCACCACTGGTTGGATCTAGTACATTTGCATTTCGCTCACGGAATCAAATCGTTAGTATCAAGTCGCAACTCACTGAGCACCAGTAGCTCTATGTAAGGGCCGGCTGCGGAGGAAAGGAATGTTGGGCTGGGACATCTGACGCCAAACAGTTATGTTGAGCGGTGACTGGAAAAACTAATGCTTTCAAAACAGGACACTCGGATTACCAACGGCGCTCGTAAGAATGGAGTTAAGACAACCAACGCATGGTTCGCGTTTGCAAGGGAAAAGTTTGGGGCAAGAATTCGCACGTGTTACAACAGCCCATTTACTTTAGGAATTGATCGTTTTCGAGCCCATTGCGCGTGGTCTTTGATGTGCACGTAATCAGTCAAGTAATTAAATGGTTTTGCGCATCCAGAGCCGAAGAATTTACACGGTACACTCTGGTCTGGATTAGATAACAGATGCTGCTACCAAGTACACTATTTTGAGTATTCTACACTTCCCATCACTCTACCGGGGGGTTGCAGTCATCCCGACCAGGTATGGATCGCTTCGGAAACGACACATGTAGTGGTGGTCAACAGAGTACTCAGGAGCGAGATGATGAAATGTCTTACTGGGAGTTTGTCAAAGCACATATATAAAACTACCAAAAACGACATTATAGGTGTATAGCTATAACACCCACTCTTTCAAGTACAATGGTTGAAATCCCTCCACTTGAAACTCCAAAAATCAGTTTGCCCCATACTGACAGAGTTGGTTCATCGCAATTATGCTTGCCACCGTTAGTCTAAGATCGGTAACCATCTGCCAAGTTAATTAGTTCTTGCAATATTTTGCCAGTCCCATTAGTAGCGCCCAATTAGGGGGAGCCAGCCATACATCCGAAGGTCTCCTACCACTTTCGTCCACGCAGACGCGTCTGTAAACATGCAAACTAGCGACGCGTTACTGTACCAATTTCGCCTCAACCAACTTCTGGTACCAAGCAAGTACCGGAGGTCGACTGACATGTATTCCAAGTTGTGCAAAGCCCGATGGGTATCAACGCTACGATGCTGTCCAGGTGGAATAGAGTCCAAAGAGAAGCGACGTACGACAGTTGAATAGAACCTTATTTTAACCTGACGAATATATATATATATATATATATATATATATATATATACACATTTGTTGTGTTGTGATTTTATACTGCTACTGTGAGCAGTGCAAATACAGCTCACTTACCAGGTATATTCAACTACTTGACACACGTCACATTTTCTGTCATTCACCCCATACTGCATATGTTTGAAGTGGCCCATAGCAAGTGGATAGCCACGCGGTACAACCTCTGTTTAGGGACAACTTGTAAGGATTTAAAATGCTTACCCCATTTTACCCCAATCAGGCGAGAAATGCTCTGCAAGATGAGCGAAGAGAGTGAGTTAAAGCGTAGACTTCTCATTCTTTCTGGTACTAACTTTAACTACGTGTATGCCTAGAAAGACGTATGGTTCGTATTTGATTGCAAAGAACTTAATATTTAATAAAGGAACACACGATCTGTCAGTTTACCAACTGCGCACTTGAGTAGGCAATCGGGCTTTGTGAGCACCACATGAGTTGCGCAGGCGGTGAACCATTCTTTGCTCCTGCATCCAAAACCCAATAACTAACGCATACACCTTTAGAGGGACTGCAGTTTTCAATTATCCCAGGGCAGGGGCATTACAACTTCGCCATGGTGCAAACACTTTCTTAGCGGCCTCTTCGGGAGACGCGGCAAAATGCCACGAAGGTCAGGATGGTGCGTGGTACAGGAAAGCGGAGTAAACCTTCCGATATTTGATTGTTCCCCAAAATCAGTACTCCGCTTGCAAATATCTCGTCATCCGTAGAAGGGACAGTCATTGTCTAGGACTGTTGCAATCTATGTTTGAAGCAACATTACAAAACGTGGATATGGAAGCGAGCTTTTAACTTTGTGTTGTCACAAGGAATTTGGTTAAAGTCAAAATGCCACCGGGACGTGACGGATGCATCTCTAATTTTGTATGCGAAATCAGAGAACAAAATGCAGGAGCTAGCCTTCCAGAGTATCTGTTCACAACCACATTTACTCTGTGTTAGAAATTTTTATCTGCAACTTATCAACTTATCGTTAAACTCTTTATTAAGGTTATGTAAACAAGGCTAGTCTGTGTGGGTGCAGGCGCACTGCTATCACACTCTCGATCCACTCTAAGCTAGTACACCTGTTATGTCCTTCGCCTAGACTACCCAAGAAAGTACAGGGAAGAAATGATTACTCTCCTTCCAGTTCTGCCTCATGCTGCCTCAAACATTCAAGCCCTCTCCTATGACTCTGGACACTGCTAAGACTAATGTATGGAATATTAAAAGCGATAAATTTCTTACAAACTGTTATGTTAAAGTCGTACAGCTCGATGCTTCTGGTGACAGAAAGGCCTCCACGGGTAAGTACGGAGGGCCTAAGCAATAAAAATCGCGTTACCACCGAAAGGTTGCAACAAATAGGTGGGCATGGTGCACCATAGTTTATGACCGGGTATGAAAGCAAGTAACTCACCCAAGTCGACTATACCGAGCAGTTTCCTTTTCTTCTTTCTGTGCTGCTCAGACTTTGACGGTTCGGTGCTGACCACAGGACCCGTGCCGGGTCGAGGTGGGGGCACGCTTGGGAGCGGTGGGCGTTTGGGGACCGTCGCAGCCGGAGGTGGAGGCCTGCTTGGAGGTTCAATGGGTTCCGCCTCGACGTACTGCTTCAGACTCCCAGTAGATGCTGAAGTAACGATAATGGATGGAGCAACAAGAACTGTCATTTGATGTTCACCTTCATGTGCCGCCACTTCGGCGGCGAAAAAAGGATCTTGTAGAGGATCGTATGTAACCTCAAACGATGGTTCCAGGTGATCGACGGGTTCCTGGTTGATAGGAGTATCAGAATTATCAAAATCAGCGATTTGCTGGAAAGTTGGTTCTACTTCAGATTCAATTGCAGTTACAACAATATCTCGTTGCTCAGTGGGTTGTTGATAGCCATCTTTTATTACTACTTCACTTGCCTTCTGCTCCGGTGACAGTTCTTTGAAGTCTTCCATCCCTTCTGGCCCGGACTGTTCCTCCGATGAGATAACTGGTGTGCTTACAAAATCCGCTTTTCCCACAGTGCTCTCGCTTTCAGTTGGGTCAGTATCTACCCCGTTCCGTTGAGCCAGACCGTTTGACAGAGAAACAATGCTACCACTTAGCTCACAAACAGGATATTCCGTGTCGTACTGCACTTCCAACTTCGGAACCTGTGACTCGTTATCATCCCCCGTGCCAAATAGGGATGGGTGACTGCCTGAAGTTAGTTCTTCACTCTCCAGCTCGCTTTCACTATCGTCAACCTGAAGCCCTTTCTCTGTAATTTCCTCATCAGTGTCTTCATCCCCAAACACTTTCTGTGGTGTAGAATGGTCTGCATCAGATGCTTCCTCACTTTTTCTTCTGGGTTGTTCAATTCCAGTTGTCTGAGGGGTTATGTTGTACTGAGCAGGTGATTCCTCTGTTTCGGTGTCCGATATATCAGTCAATTCAAAGCAGTCGTTCTGAGCAAGCGGAGCCGGAGATTCTGAGTCGTTTTCTTTTTGGCTATGCGGTGAATTGGGGATAGTGGTGCGATCTTTGCTCAACTGATCAGACGTGAGAGGGGGTGAATCTTTACTTGATATTTCTTTCCATTCATCTTCCGCAGGATGGCGAGCACTTCTCGTTCGTCGTAGACTGCTGAGCAACCGAAGACGTGGCTTCGGAGACATGGAATGGCGTGGAAAGTTTGGGTCATCTTTGCACTCCCAGGACTCTTTGTCAGGCGGTAATTCGCACGATGTGCCAACTGGAGTTCGTCCACCAACCGACTTACTTCGCCCCTTGGATTTCGATTTAGACCGACGTCTTGTAAGTAGTGTAACCGGATTGAAACGTAGGCTCATTGTGTGTATCAAGTTTCCCACCAACGTACCACGATACGGTATCTGTCAGATGGCTCATTCAAGCTTAGCTTGAGCAACGAGTGCATCTTAGAAAACGTCAATGTGCTGAATAACCTTCACTGTTGGCATGAAAAACAAGGGTTTATCAACGTGTGCGTTGCTAAGCTCAGCGATTTCAAACAAGCTGTCCGTGTGTATGTCTATGTGTCCATCCCTCGTCATACCGGGGCTTATTTGGCCGAGAATGTCTCTCCTCACTATCAAAGCGGGTAGACAGGCTTACTTTCCTCGCCCGACGGATCGATTCAGCATGGGATTTCCGGCAGTTAGGTTTGGAAGAGCTGAGAAGCAACCTAGCCCATCCCTAGTATCCTCAATGCAGCTGCGACCAAACATTCTGGAGTTTCTCTAGTAGTATGGAACCTAAAGACCGGATGCAATAGGATAACTTGTGAAAGTTCGTCAATGGATGACAAGAGATACTCCTCACCTTACTTTAAGACGGGATGATTTATAAACGACTTAAGATAACTCATGTGTCAAGACGAAATTTAGGCTGTTTAGCTCATAAGCTACATGGTGTGCACAGGACCAGAACAACTCAATTTTTTCAAGCGATGTACGAGACATGCTAGTCTTTTTCCAACGTGCACTGAATGAAAACGTAGTCACGAGGTCCCCACTTATGCTATTAAATCTTCCATAAGTTTCCTACTAAACGACCGTCTTACCAAACGGACCAAAGTCACGAGGTTTAGCAGCGGAAGTGCCTTGCAAGTAACCACAACTTCCGGTATCCTACAAGGTGTGTTTTTACACCGTCCCCTCTTCTCTACTTACGCTGTCTCCACACTTAGTACCGAAAATAGTATCTTGTTGATGTGCGGATGACGCAGTCTTGGGCATGAATCATCTGACCTGAGCCTCCACGATTAAGCGACAACGTTGTTCCGATAGATCCCCGTAATGACAGACTCCCAGAAGTTTGACCCTGAATGCATCCAATTGCAATAATGACCTAGTCTTAGTGTATACATGAGTTAGATACCAGCAAATTGCCTGGGACTGTCCCAAACTTCCCATTCATGATGACGGCTTATGCTTCACCATGCCAAGGAATTATCTGGAGATTTATATCCAATCACGATTTATCGTGGCTACGTTCTGTGAATGAAATATTTACCAAACTCATGAGGCTGTCGTCTTTTGCCACCCTTCTTCTATCATCTTCCGTATGGCACAATTTGTTTCTTCTATACATCACTGCTTAGATTCAGCCAAGTTGAAACTAATGTTCTCATGAGTTTTTTCGGCTTACTGGATAAGCAGTTCACTTGATTTAACCGTTTATTGAAACACTTGTCTTGATTTAGTGGTACTCTAAAGCCAAGGTCAGCTCCAATTTACGTATACACCCGTATTACTTGTGAGTGGAAGGATTTTGGTGAGTATTTTTGTTCATCGCAATCAGCCGACAATTCAGATATGTCGACCAGCTGTCCGGAAAAGCACCAGACGGCCGTTTCGCCCTATTGGGGCTCATCAGTGGTGCGCATCCTTCGGTCCTCTGTGGAGGATCGAACCCATGACTGCTAGTGGCTCTTGCCAACTAGTCCGCAGTTTATGCAACTGCGCCATGGAGGACGATATCTGACTATCGTGAATTGTTAGCTAAATGCGATATAGCCCGACGCATCCTCCACTGCCATGCAGGCACCTGCCATGCAGATGACAGCGATCGGCCTTCCGGCGTCAGGACTTCCCGATTACGGCAGCTATGAATCGACATAGCATTTTGTGGAATCCGTACGGGCGAATTGGTATTACTTGTGAATGGAAGGATTTTGGTGAGTATTTTTGTTTATCGCAATCAGCCGACAATTCAGATATGTCGACCAGCTGTCCGGAAAAGCACCAGACGGCCGTTTCGCCCTATTGAGGCTCATCAGTGGATTCCACAAAATGCTATGTCGATTCATAGCTGCCGTAATCGGGAAGTCCTGACGCCGGAAGGCCGGTCGCTGTCATCTGCATGGCAGGTGCCTGCATGGCAGTGGAGGATGCGTCGGGCTATATCGCATTTAGCTAACAATTCACGATAGTCAGATATCGTCCTCCATGGCGCAGTTGCATAAGCTGCGGACTAGTTGGCAAGAGCCACTAGCAGTCATGGGTTCGATCCTCCACAGAGGACCGAAGGATGCGCACCACTGATGAGCCCCAATAGGGCGAAACGGCCGTCTGGTGCTTTTCCGGACAGCTGGTCGACATATCTGAATTGTCGGCTGATTGCGATGAACAAAAGTATACACCCGTGTTAATTCGAGCGGAACTTTACATTAAAAACACACCAATATCAGATGCTCTTAGCATAGTACACCATGTAAATGTATATCTACAGTAAAACCTCCGTAAATTGACTACTCAATGGGCTGGCGAAATGTGTTCAACGTGGAGAGGTGGTCAACTTACAGAGGTCTGGATCAATAAGGTGTACATAGCGAAGGCTAAAGCAATGAAAAAGGAAACGACCAAATAAGAGAGGTGCTCGGCGGGTTCACTGTAATATATATATATATATATACATATATATATATATATATATATATATATCACACCCAGCTTGATTCGTTGCCTAACCAGAAAGCATTCATCCAAGAATTTTCAACTAAAATTTTCCAGTGAGGCTGTGGGTACACAGATTTTATGTCAACTGCTGTCTCACAGTTCTTGTGTGTGCTGTACAGCATTTTTGCGGTTCGATGATATGTGTTGAAGATGAAAATTCATCCTTCTTTGGTGCACAAAGCGCATACTTGACGACTTAAATTAAGTGGCAGGAGAGCAAACAAAATGATGCCAGCTGCTAAGGGTGGGCTGATGTTCATATCTCTGTGCTCAAGTACATAGCCGCTTGTCTGCCGAATTTAGGCTGCAGCAACTGTGTCCTAGCAGTGATGTGTGGACGACCCTTATATGTTTTACTTATGTAGCTTCATACGTTGTAAGCATTTCCACAAATTCCCAGAGAAACTGTTGCAAGTCAGTTGTCGTGCCATAAGAAAGGCATAGGTTGATCATACCCAAAATTATCAGTAGACGTCATAAACCACTTTCCAATCAAGCGCGTCCCCTCGGATTACGACAACCCCCACTAATGATGTAGGTAGTGTGCCAGTCTCGAGATTCTCCAGATTAGCTTGAGTATGCTGTGTAACCTTATGACCAAATTACAATCCTAGTATACACTTAAGCAACCGATGCGAAATGTGAACATGTATATTGTGTTGGTCTATTTGAACCGAGCACCGACTTTTCCTGCATGCATTGGTTGGGTTGCATCGCGCAACTGCGATGTAAGCTACATTTCCCACAGATACTGATCCTGAGACTAATACTGTAGTTACTAGGAAGTAGAAAGGTTTCTGTACAACTCTATCGAAGTATGAAAAATCAAAAACATTTAATTGCGAATCGTCAGCGGCAATGTTTGTCAGTTAATCCTTTATCCTTGTTCGGTTAAGAATTCGTATTGGTGTCATTATTTCCGGGCACACGATGTCGTGTTTTGGCACTGTATGTGCACCGTTTCACAAAGTACAAGTTTCCGAAATAATCGTCGATACGTGATTTAAAACATTTCACAGAATCGGTCTCTATTAATCTTTCTGGTAGTTTATTCCATAAGTTTACGACTCTTCATTCTATACAAAGCTGCTGGGATACCGTGTTCATGTAGGGGACTCTGAGTTTGTAACGGTGTCCTCGGGTAGTACAGAGTCCCCGCAGGTGAAATATTGGCCGCAGTATGAGGAACTGATTCAAGTGTAATATTCGATGGGTTATAATAAGGTCGATTCTTACCCCGCGGTAGGATAGTGTGTAGAGTCCGAGTCTTTCACAACGTTTTTCTTACGGAAGCTTTCGTAGACTCGGAATCATTCTAGTTGAGATATGCTGTAGTTTCTCCAGCCTTTCAGTTTCCCACTGGGTTATCGGATAGTAAGCTGGGGCGTTGTATTCAAGGATTGGTCTAATGAGTGCGGTGAATAAGCGAGGGATGGTTTCCTCGGACCATGTGGAGAAACTGCGTCTTAATGTCCAGAGCATACGAAGTCCCGCAGGGTACAATTGCACAGTATTTTCTAGTGATCTCATATCATGTCACGAGAGAACTTCTAAGTCTCTGACAGATGTGTTAGGGTGAAGCAACTGGACATCCAAAGTGTATGATCGAGTGGCAGGACGTCTGGTGCTACTGATGAACTCTGACCTAATGGCGTTAAGAGGGACTTGCATTTCAGCGGACCACGTTGACAGTCGTTCTAAGTCATGCTGAAGGCGAGCGCAGTTGTCCTGGTTCTCAATTATCCTCCAGATTTTCCAATCACCTGCAAACAGGACACATGGTGACTGGAGCTGCTGCGGAGGATCTTTGATATGAAGAAGAAATAATATTGGCCCAAGTACAGTTCCTTGATGCAGGCCACTGGTCGACGGGAACCAGTCTGTCAGGTAGTCATTGACCTATACTGTAAACCTTCGTCCCACAATAAACTCGTGTAACCACTGAAGTAACGTGCCATCGATTCCGTATGTCCTCAGTTTACGAAGGATTATCTCGTGGTTCCCTCCGTCAAACATCTTACTAAAGTCAATGTACACCACGTCAACGTCCTTCTGTTCATTGAGAGCTCGTACCCACTGGTGAGTTGCGTAAATCAAGTTGGTGATGCAGGATCGCCCATTCGTAATGCCGTGTTGCGCTGGCACCAATACGTCCATAGATTCCAAGAACGACAACAGACACATTTTCACAACCTTCTTGAGAAATTTGGATAAAATCGTAGTCAAACAGATCAGTATATAGTTCTCGATTTTATTCGGATCACAACCCTTGGGAAGCGGTCTCACTATCGAGCATTTTCAGTCGTTGGGGCCAGATCCTTCAGGGAGTGATTTATAGAATATTTTTGTCACAGCTGGCGAGATGATAATCGAAAGGGACTTGAGTATTAGTGGGTGAAGTCCGTCTGGTCCTGGGGCTTTGCACCATCGAAGGTGTCGAGTAGCTGATACACTTCGACTGCATCACATTGTAGGCTGTCGAGCAAGGCTGG